TCATGCATGCATATCGATAGGAGTCTGATTACATCATGTGTGGTCTTTTATCACGCCTGCAGGGACTGAGCATTCCTGCAGCTGGTTTTTCATTCGGTTAAGAGTATAGTATTCCTTTCATGGGGGCACTACATTATGTGTATTTCGAAACGTCGCCATTACAACTTAATTTTCACTATCCTACTATTGTAAAAAAAAAATAATAATGATTGCTTCAGCCATCCCTTGGGTGAATGGTTGGTGATCCAACCCCAACTCCACCTAGACTCACAGAAGTGATGAACGATTTCCGGAACTTCCAGTAAGTTTTAATAACCTCCATAACAAGGAACTTTTCGAGACACTTCTGCAACATTTGATGGATTACTGCAGTTGTATTGACCGGTTTGAGACGAAATGTGATACAGCATTGCTTCACTCTGGGAATATGACAGACGCCTTACACACTGAGTTACTGCATTGCCAGCCAAACTCTCATTCAAGATGCTAGTCAGATGAGGACTGACACTACACTGCTCAACAGTTTAATCTATTAGTCCATGGAATGAAAATAATTTTTGCGATATTGACAGACTCACAAAAAAATCAGTCCTGGAACTTTATTGTCACACCTCGTATGCAATGTTGGGCGCGTTACTTGCGAAAAGTAACTAGTTAATATTACAAGTATTCCATCCAAAAGTATTTAGCTACCAGTAGAATTACTTCTCACCAAAAGTAACTAGTTACAAGAAGTTACTTTTCCTGAACAAAAAGTCTGATCTTTCTACATCTTCATTTCTTTGACAGAAGCTGGATGCGTGCGCTCAAAGCGATAGTTACTCCTGATTTCATGAATATTGAATAATGATCATCACTAATGATCATTATTCAATTTCCATTTCCAGTTTCCATTTCATGACCAGTTCGGTTGAACTGGACAAATACTCATGCTCACTCTTTCTCTGTGCCTCTTCCCTTCCCATGAGCCATTTGACAGGAATTATATGCTGATAGTCAGAATGCACCCTTTACTTTAAAAAAATGCCAATTTTGCCATTGTGGAAGACCTACTCCAGCCTGCCCCCTATCATGAGTTCCAGATAGAAAAATAGAAAAAACCGAAGTGTGTTCTCTTTGTTTTCCCTTAACCAGACTGCACAAATCCAGCCCATACAGTGATTGAAAATGAATTTTCACTAACTTTTTTACCAGGAACATGGTATTTTAATGGCGCAATCAAGGAGATGTGGGCGTTTCGACCATGAAATATGGCGACTTGGGTCTGAGGTGTTCATGTTAAAAGCGGTACAAATTCACTTGCAAATCCCTTTTTGTTAAATTAGGAAGTGCGAGTGCTAAGTATTAACGGAGTCTAACTAATGACTGATTCTTCGGAGGGTGATAAAACGGGGCACTTTAAATATAGGGAGGTAGCTAGGGTATACCCACACGCCGAGCCTAAAGGGGATCGGACAAAATTGAGGAGAGAGGTGCCAACGTTAGGTATACGAAAGGTTTCCGTGCAGATGCACTATCAAAACCAAAGCAACGCCTATCCTTCAGACCTAACGCAAGACCAAAGGTTGTCTGTGTGGAGTCAGTCAGGACACGATGGCTCATCCAGACATGCTTTCTCCAGTCAGATGCGGAAGTTCATGAGACGGATAGTACGAGGGTTGTCCGAAAAGTTCTCTGTATTGATTTCTAAAATGAGTTACACTCGATGAATCTGTATTAAATTTCGGTGAGCACTGGTTATGTCTAACAGTATTCATTGTGCGAAGTTTGGTATAAATTTATCACGTTTGGTATAGATTTACACTCGCTGCCGGATATTGCATACAGTCGCTATGGATGCCTCCGTCGGGCAAGATCGAAACATCGCATTCGAGTCATCATCGAGTTCCATGTTCTGCTCAACGACACACCGACAGAAATCTATCAACTGATGTCGATGGCTTTGGGCCAACACTGTCCAGCTGACGAGACGATCCGGAAGTGGTCAAAGCCCTTCCTGGAGGGAAAGACGGACCTTGAAGATGAGCCACCAAGTGGGCGACCAGTTTCTGCTTCAACACCGGCAAAAAGTCCATTAAGTCGCTGACCTCCTTCAAGAAGACCGCCGAATCACCACCTGACCAAAAAGCTTATGAGCTGGACATCTCACCCGATACCGCTCATCACATCGTCACCGCAGAGCTGGGAAAGAAAAATGTTGCAGCAAAGTGGGTCTTCTTCCTCCGGCCCACTTCATGGCTCGTCATTTTGTATCAATTAGGATGCATGTAGTCATGAAGCGCTGGTTGTTTTCAGCAAATTTAGTCAATCAAGAAAAGGAACGCGTTACAGTAACGCCACATACTTTTCCCATGAAAAGGAATTAGTTATCAGTTCCGTTACCCTCCCCTGAGAAGTAACTCGTTACCAAAAAAGTTACTTAAAAAAGTAATTAGTTACTGTAACGTGTTACTTTTATTTCGTTAGCGCTCAACACTGAATATACAGGGCGGTCCAAAAAAACGCACCAATTTTGATCGATAATAACTTAAGAACAAATGAATCGTTTTTCGTGTTTGAAACGGAAAATAAAAGGTTTATTAATCTTCTTTCCACCGACATACCATTTTCAAATTTCCTTCAAAGGAACCAGAGCAATTGCATTTTAAGTACAAACACCAAAAAAAGAGCATAAACTTAAACTTTTCTTAACCTTTCACAATGGTGTTGTACGCGTTAACGACTGACATACGGCTCAATATGACCGCCTTCACGGGACACAACCGCCTTGAGCCTTGATCTCCAATTGCTGCCCGAATTGAATCTCGAGGCAGTTCTTCCCAGCATTTCACAATCCGTTCTTTCAATTGAGCGATGGTACGGATTTGCTGTCCGCGGCTGGGCTGTTTGGGGCCAAAGGTTGGGCTCAATGAAGTCTGCACAGTTGGACCTCAGGTATGCAAGTGTCTTCTGATCCCGATGAGCTGGCGCACCATCTTGCATGAAGTTGTAATCCAACATTTTGTCCTCAATCTCTGGAAGCATTTGGGCCAAAACCTCGTCGCAGTAGTTTTATGCGTTAATTTTCACCCCACGTTCGATGAAAAGGATTCTAGTTTTTCCTTCGGCAGGCACTGCCACTGACACCATAACCGAATCGGAAAAGGGGGACCTTTCCCTTAAGAGTTGCGAAGGCTCAACATCTTTTTTTGTTGCACATTTGCGTACACACGGTCATTTTTAGTGTTACGTGGACTCTCCAAGGTAAACTTTCTTTCATCCGAAAACCAAACTTTGCTGACAGCAGAATTGGTTCGAAAACGGAGCAGGAGCTTTTTGCTTCAGTCAAGACGCTTCTGCCTAGTTTCAGGCGACAACTTCTGTACAGTCATGAAAGTTTTTAAGTTCAAGTCCTTTGCTATGCGCTGAACTGAAGACCGCGGAATGCCTGTTCCTTTTTAAATACGCCGCACACTACTTAAACTAGTGCCTGGTTTGCCTTCTTGGCTGCAAATCAGTGAACCGACAGTCTCAACGTTTTTTTTGTGTACGAGCAGTTTTTGGACGCCCACTGCCCGGACGACGTTTTCCACTTCCATAATCTTGAAGTTTGAAAAAAAAAATCCGCAACTGTTCTTTTCTTCCATTAGCGATCTGGAAATTCCGAGAGGATTTGATTCAATGAGTAATTTTTTTCCTGACGCAGCGCGGTTATCAAACACTTGTCACTCTCGCTCAAGACCATTTTGAAGGATGCACAAATCTAAAATCAAATTTTAGAGAATGAAATTTAAACATGATCGAAGAAAATAATTCTAGTTCAAACGAAGAAAATACGCTACATTAGACTGAAAAAGAACATGTCTGACTGCTGTAACTCAGTATGAGAGCAATTGATAATAAGTGACCAGCAAGACAACGGCGGCACGCTCGCAAAACCGGTTTTGAATCAATAATCGTTTGAATAGCAACCATGAAAAATGACTGGAATGAACTTTTTGAAATGCACTTTTATAAGATGAAATTTGAAAGACACGGCAGTTGTAAGCATGCAACGGAAAATCGCCGTAGGATGCTGCATACAGAGAGGGTTAGCAAGAGGCCAGCCTTGTTTATCCACTTTTTTGGGTGCTTGTACTTAAATTGCAATTGCTCCGGTTATATTGAAGGAAATTTGATGATATGGGGATGGAAAGAGGATTAATAGACCTTTCAATTCCCGTTTCGAGCACGAAAAAAGGTTCATTTGTTTAAAAGTTATTTCCGATCAAAATTGGTGCGGTTTTTTTTGTGCCACCCTGTATATGTATGTGGGACGTTCCTGGGATGCATACTGGCTCCATGGATATGATTTTAGGCTTACTTGACTTCCCATCCAAATCTCGCTGAATGCTCCATCAATGACAGAGCCAAGGTTTCGCCAAAGGGGGCTAAGAGGTACAGAGGTTAGTAACTTCTTCACCAAAGGGGGTGTGGTGAACACATCAAGATCAGAGTTGGGGAGCTAGGCTTCAGCCCCCCTCTATCAACATCACTGATGCTCATTGCGACCAGTTTTCAAATGCAGTGGCTCATGGGGCAAATTGTTGGCATCCAATGACCATCACACAATTTGAACTATTTTCTCAGTAGGCCTCTTTTTTTCTACATTACATGCATATTGTACACCAAACATTATGACGCACATGACCATACTTTTATACAATCGACCCATAGTCAAGGGCAGCAGTTAAGGTGTTATAGTCTAAGAACTCTGACCACTGTTGAGTGCATGAAGGGCCTGGAATAGAGTAAGGCAGGGGCAGCAATTTAATTATTGCTGGCAAAATGCAGTGAAACACTGGTCCATCATATGATTACCTATGGAAAATAACCATTGTATGCTTGCATACAGTGAGCTCATTGTAAACTGTTTATCTCCCAATAAGAAAACTGGAATAGAGGACTAATGGATGCATGTACAAATGACTAGTAGTTCCAACTCTGTTATTGAGCAACTGTGAGCCACAAGGAAATACAGCACATGAGGACAGAGACACAACGAAGAAGGTATATTTCTCCAAGTCCCAGGCAAAAGTAGAAATCCCATACCTCAATGTGGTACACATCACAGATGCTACGTCATAAGCAAGGAGAACTCCAGGAAGACAGAACAACAATGGTGACTTGGGAGTTCTGCCCTGCAAGGAACAGGCAAGATACCGTCTGAGGGAGACATGGAAAAAAAGTGAGAATCTGAATCAAAATGAATAGTGCCCTGAATGCCCTGGTGAAACTGATGAAATGGCACAATTGACAATGGTTCCATGTCTGTTGATCATTCCAATAACTTCCCATAAAAGAAACAGAAGGAGAAAGCAGGATCAAAGAGGAGACTGATGATATCACAATTGTTGCAGTGAGACCTAGGTATCCATGTGAATTCAATAGAATCGTTTTCTTGAGTTCAGCTCCTCCTTTCCATAGAAATAGAGCACTGTCACAATCACTCCCAGGAGAGCAAGGATACCAAAGATCCACAGCATTGCTTTTTTTAACCTTCCACTCCAGCCTGAGCTCTCCTCATAGGAATCTGATAAGAGAAAAGAAAAGCTTTTCATTTCTTGCAACAAGATCACTCAGGAGGAATTAATTTTCCATTTTGAGAACAGAACAGGAACTGACCAGTAGTTCTGTCAGATCTGACAATGATAGATGGAACAATTTGCCCTCGGTCCTCCTGTTTTGAAACATAAGTGTGAAAATCTAATGGAAACAGGTCAGGGCAGATAACAGTGGAATTGTGAAGGTTAGTCATCACCTGTGAAGGTTTAGAAGGAAGTGCATAGAACTTGAGATCAAAGATGTCATGATTATCAGACAAATCTCCTGTTGCTGCACTGAGTCCCAGGTAGAGGCCTGTTGGAAGTCGCACATGGTTCTCACTGAAACATGTCGTCCACTCTTGCTTGTTTTCAACATCCACAGCAACTGAAAATTCAAATTAAAAATGAAGATACATCCACCAAGCCCTTTTGAAGAAAAAATATAAGGCTATCAGAGAGTCAGAGCTTGACTATGTGGTCCAAGTCCCCTTCCCTCCACCACTGACAAAAATACAATCCAACAAAAACAGAGACAGAATTTATTAAAGAATTTGAGTATTGAGCCTATCTGTCTTGGGTTTCCTCTGAGCTAATTCTTGACTTTTGGCACGTAAATTGGTCTCCAAAGCAGGATAGTAATTGCTTCTTGAGCAGAAATGAGGCCATATAAAGTCAATCCAAACTGCATGCTGCTACTTCTGATTAAATCTTCAATCACAATTAAAAATAAATAATCTAAGTTATTTGTATTCTAATCAGCATACAAATTTCCTTATGAACACCTGCTTTTCTCTCCCAGTTTCAGTGTAGCACATGCTGACTCATGAAAGAACCAAAAGCAAAGGTTTTGATATGATGAAATGGCTTGTCGAAAGTAATCCCTTGTGCATGGCTCACAAAATGACTATTCCACAAAAATAAAAAGTTGAAAAGGGAAACAAATAAGAAAAAGGTAATTCTGTTGGATAGTGCAAAAAGAAGTGAGATTCTTGAGAGGGGATAGAAAGAAAGCCACATTCATTTGTCATTGTATTCAGGGTAGGCTGATTAAAACTTACTTGATAAATTGACAGGCAAAATGTATCTACTACTATGTCTACCAGACTATGGCTTACTCCCCAATAAATCTTGATTTGCACCTTAGAAATAACATTTTTTTTTAGAGACCTGCAATAAGATCATGTCAATTCATACAGCTAACCAACTCAAAAGGAGTGGAGTCAGTGAAGGTGGAGTGTGAGGGGCACATGTAAGATGTAAACTAGCACCATCTGAGTCTACTACAGAGCTGCATAGGGGCTTTGACATCAAAGGTATGCAAGCCTGGTTCATGATGCTTATCTCCTTCAAAATAAAATTTTCTGAAATCTACTCAAGTATGTCAAACAATCTCATAACAGTGAACCAATGAACAAAAACTTAGCTCTCAGCCATTTTTTATTATCAAATATTTGCTAAAACAGAAAGTAATAAAAATGTGAAAATTCAGGAGAATAGAAAAACCAATGATATTTTCTGTCTTAATACCGAAAATTAACCTGTTGTCCATTCTTTAGATAGAAGTAGAAGAAAATAGGGAATAATAACATTTTGGATTAGATGTAGTACCAGACACATTCAAGGAAATATCCAGAGTACTTGCCAAGTTACTTGCAATAATGCTCACAAGATACATTAACCAACCTCAGGTTTCAGTAGCTGAGAAGAGAGCTTATCACAGAATATAAAATCCTCGAATGATATTTGGCTTGCACACATCCAAGAAGATGTAGCTAAAAGTTCTTACCCCTCTCCAATGAAGTCAAAACTGGATAACAATGCAGCAATAAAATTAATACCAATGGATCAGAATTTCCGGAATTTAAGACATCATTTGCTTCATAAAGGCTTGGTACAGAACATTCATAGAGAGTGAAGTAGCTGAAGAACCTCATCACATAACATTACAGGCTCAGATGAAATAGCAATTTTTCTCATTTGGCCCATCAGCCACAAAGTGAGGCACAGCCATGTCCTGGAATGATGACTAGGATAAGCAGACAGAAGTAGTTCACTCATAACTCACCAGTAAGGGTGTCGTCCTCATACCTGACTGACAGGTATGTCTCATGATCAAGGTTTTGAACCTTCACAGGGCAGCGTTTTAACTCTTGTACCTTTCCATCTTTTTCATGATCATATGACAATGTCCCGTTGTTCACCACTGCCTGGATAATTGGATGCTCTCTCTGCAGACACACAAATGCACCACCATGAGTTCTCATACCAAAAAAATACAGTTCAGTCTATCATTTGATGCTTTTCTGATTTCAAGTCTCAGTGTCACATAAGGTATCTGGGAAGACACAAACTCATGATTTAGACCTCAGAAGTCAACATTTGTTATGACTTAAGAGAGACATCAAGATGATGAGAACAGTTCGTATATATTGATACATATTCAGGAAAGCTTTATACATGTTACAAACTCTTTCAGCAAGATTTCATGTTGAGTCTAGCAAATAGAGCATAGGTATAGGAAACCATAGATCCCTTCAAATTTAGCTGGAAAATATATTTTCCCCTTTAGTATAGGAACACAATTGTCAGAATTTAATGTGGCTCGTATAGGTCTAGTAGCTACAATACAGGGAATTCACAAAAAAAAATGGACTTTCACAATAGTGAAACCTATGTTTTCTTAGTACACCTCTGACATCTCTAAAATAATAACTTTTCAATTAAAAATGGATGGACATCTTACTCACCAGAGCTGATCATTATGAGGAGGATAAGATTTGATTAAGAAATTATAAAATGATCTGATTTATGAGAAAAAACTTATATCAAAATGGAATTCCTGAACTGTTCCACAGCTAAAATATAATTTTTAGAGATACAATAGGGATCCTAAAACGTCCAGAGAAGCAGAGACTCTTTTCTACAGAATTTCTTGTGTTCAAGGAAATGCCTATGAATAGTGAATTTAATTCTGAGAATTTATTTGATGAGTTAATCCATTAAAATTCTCCTTTTAGATTAGGAATATTTATAGTATATATAGTTTAATGACCAGTATTTTAGCTTCCAGTGAGTTCATGAACACAAAACACTTCTTGGTATAAATAATTAAAGTCAACAAAAAACAACCAGTCAATAGAACCAAGACTCCAAAAGGAACTCACCCGCACTGGCTTTTGGTCATTCATATATGTGTCAATAAAGACTCCTAGTCCATAGAATTGATCTTTTGATCCAAACACAGGACCATCAACCATCTTGTCTTGTACATACCAAAAGGCAAGCCCATCACCATAATACACTTTTCCCTTCCCATGGATTTTGAAGTGCAACTGCATCTCCCAATTTGGCTCCTCAACTGGCTGAAATAAGCAATAAATAATTGCACCATAAAATGCTTTTCATTGTGATCCAGCCTTCATCTCAGTCATAACGAACAGCCATGACAAGCTACACCAGGTCTACAATAAAATCCTACACCTTCATCAGCAGACTATTACAGTATCTTTCATTTGAATCAGACACTCATGCCTAAGGAATATCCCAAGCACAGGTGTCCAAGTCAAGTGAAGAATTGTCTGACTCAAGTGAAAAACACTAATAGGTCTCTAAATAAGATCTTCAAATTCATTTTCCAAGTAGAAATTGAAGGGATGTCTTTTTGGAAAGAAAATGAAAATGTGCTCTAGGTTAAAGCTCACCACAAGATTCCATATGCTGCCTCTTCTGCCTGGGACATCATTTGTGAGTCGAACAAACTTTTTTGTCACCATGCTATTGCCAAAGATCTCCCAATTGGGTATTGATAGCACCATCCCTGAACCTGCTCATGAATAAAAAAGGGCCAAAATAAGAGGCATGACACATGAGCCTCTACTACAGGTCTGGGCCTATCAGGCTACCAATATATCTGCTCAATAATATGGTAAGGGACAGTCAGTGATAGGGTTTTCAGAGGTTTCCTAATATTACATTTAAAAAAAGAAGTTATATCCTAAAATCCAAAACATTTCTGCATCTGTCCAAAATTGTCAGTATCTCAGATATGTGAATAATTTTGACAATAAAATTTGCAGCCTGAATTCCCTTTATTACTTTGGGTAAAAATTTCATGACTAAGAAATAAAATATATTTAGGATAATAAATGGTCCATTAGTGTTTACAAAATATGGAGACAGGTCTATCCTTGTCTCTTGGGGTAGGAAAAGTACACAAGTACTGAAAGGTTAGTACTAAAGACAGTCTGAATGCAGCACTGGTAAAGTAGGTTATGGCTCATGCTTGAGAATGAAAGAAAATAGGCAAAACTTGGAAATATGTGGGATGGGATACACCAGCTGTCTCTCAAGGTTCATCATGACACTTGTGAATAAGACACCTGATGTTAATTTATTGAGTAGTTTCTACTGTTGCTTTAGGATTTGAATATTTATATTTCTTTCCCTTAAAAAATTTAACTAAAATTCTTACCAATACAGAGGAGGTGTTCATCTTTGTTTTGTTCACTTTCTATTTGAAATAATGCATCTGGAGGGAAGGATGCCCATCACTCTACAAAGGAGATACTTATTGACCACCCAAATTGCAAACATCACCAAGATGGGGACATTTGTTTCTGGACTCTTTACTTTGGGATTTCATGAGCTGAATAGTCAGCTTTGTCAAAATTGATGCACAATGATACTCATGTATTTAAGGAATGTAGGCTATCTCACACATGAAGGCAGAATAATGTTGAGCTGCTGCTGCAATGAATCACTTAAGAACCTTGAGCCAATATATGATAGATAGACTAGGTGCAAGAGGCTGAGGTCCATGAATTTGCCTTTGCTCTCAAATTCCAAATAATCCTCCTTTCCATCCAAGCCCACCTCCCAGCAACTTCATCTAAGACCCCAAGTAGAACTAACCTTGGGAGACTTTATTTGCCACTAGTGGCTACTCTAGGGAAGCACTACCCTAGGTTCAGCCTCCTTGGTTATTTCACATCCCACATCTTGAAATGAGAGAGCTTTGTGCTTATGAGTCCCCCTGCACTTGAAAATAAATGCCTAACTTGGTTGGAATCAAATGTAGGTCTACCTTCACAGGAGTCATGCTGGCTACCAATCAATTGTCTACCACTGAGCTCCAGTTGTCTTTCCTATGATGCTTCCTTCATGAATACAACTATCAGTTGTCCACATTAGAAAGTGTTCAAAGAAACAGCATTGTTGAAGTAGGTGGTAGGGCCCAAAACATTATTCCTAACAGCATTTCATCATCCCCTCTGAATATCAACTAACCTATACATACTCATAAGTCAAGAATACATCTGCCTGTGAGAGGTATAACAGTATCAAACAACCTACATGATAAGATGTAGACTCCTTACACTGTTAAATACCAGTTCTGTTTCAGTTTCATCTAAAATTAACGAAAGTTCTACAAACTTGTCAGCAACTGGTGAACATCCATTCCCTATAGATAAACTGAAACTAGATTTACAAAGATAAACTGTAACGTTAATGATAGCTAAACTGAAAGACTTGAAGGAACTGTGCAGCTAGTAGCCTAGAATCCTTAGCTTTGAGATTGGGAAGATCAGACTCGCAGCTCACCTTGAAAGGGCTTCATTAGAGAATGCTCTCGCCTAAGAAACTCCTCAGAAAATTTGACATTTTCATCAGTGGCTGAAGTGAAGTGAGAGAAGCAGAAGAACCAGAACCCTTGAAGTAAGGCACGAGAGAGAAACCTTTTTTTGAAAGAGGAAGACATGACGTGCCGACACGTCCAAGCTTGTGATCACTGTTAGCACTGATTTCTTTCCCTCTTGATTTCAGAACTTAGGAAAGGAGTACAGCGTGCTCGCCAAGACTGGTAGGCAGACCTATGTTAGGCAAGGCCGAAGCCCCTACTAATGCAACTAGAAGGATTTCGTCTGCTTCATTCAGGGATGCCCTGTTGTCCACAGTTGTCACGACTGAGGAATATTTCCGGATGGTTCTGGAGCGATCCGCTGAAAAATATCCATGGATAATAGGGGAAATATAATACCTTCTCATGTTTTTCGGGACCGAACCACCAAATTGTATATTGTCGTGATCCCTTCCCACTCTGGCGCAATGTTGGCTACAGTAACACAGGAACTGGTTGGTTTAGGAGACGTCAGGCCCTCCCCACTTCCCTGAACAGAAATATAGACGTAATCCTGCAAGGGGACATAAACTATTGGACGTTGTCTCCAGTAGTGGATTAGTCGACCTTTAAGCTCTGAGTCCAAATAACCCAAGCTACGTCCTTTACGATCATAGGCGCATTCGGGTACTACTCCGCTCCTGAAATTCTTTTTAGTGAAAACGTTTGGGAATGGAATATACAGGGCCGGCGTTGGGGCTAGAATTCGTCAACCAAGGTTCCACATTCAACCGGTTCGCTATAGGCTATGGCTTAGATTTTTTATTATTATGCCGTTTTCTTTGGCAGAGGTAGGGACCCGTTCTTACCCCAAAATGTTTCATCGTAACGTATCAACCCCAACCAAGAGTGTTCCCTGTTACATTAAGCATTTCTTAGCAGTGGCGAGTTAAGACTATTTAGGGATCACTTTAGCTAAGTCTACACAAGTGTAACCATCGTAATTTGAATCTGTTTACAAGATCCTCTGTAAAAGTGCAGTTGAAGACGAATTAGCCCTCCCCCTTCCCCCTCCCCACATTGAGGAGCTCATGAATATATGCGTGCATCAGCATTCCGTCACAAGGATGCACACAAAAGGGGCTTCGACAGCCCTGGAGAAAAATTCGTCCTCCTCCCCACACTGTCTTTAGCTGCGTAATGCTCTCACTCGCGCTCCCCTACCCTATTCCTGATCCTGGCAGGCTGACGCACGGAAGAATTCCGATTCTTCCGTGCGTCGCGAAACGTCATTTCTTTCTCGTTCATCGAAATTTCGCTCTTTAGAGTATCCGTTTTATGAGATCCTCTTCCTGCTTATAGTAACCTTGTTCTATTGATGGCAAGATTTAGCTGTACTGCTCAGGAAAGATGGCTCTAAGATTGAATCGTGGACAAAGGAAGCGGGAAAAAATATCAGTGGATTCTGGGGGCCCTTCATACCTAAACAGACAAATGGTACTTGGAAAGTGTCCACTTGATGACTTCCCAAAATCTCGTAAAATAAGAGCGGAAGGAATGAAAGCTCTAGGTGTCAATTCTAGTCCAAAAATTATACACATCTGCTCAAGCTAATTCCTTACATCACGTAGGGCCAGGATCGGACTGGCCCATCGGGAAATTTCCTGGGGGTGGAGGGGGGGGCCGTATACCTGATTTAAAAATATATATATATAAATGCGTGTTTATTACCGTATTTATTAATGTGATAACTTGCAATATATAATTACAATATATCAACATTGAATGATGTGTCTTTTTAGTCCGTCCATGAGTTTTTCTCATGTGTATTCTTGGGAAGGGGGGGGGGGGGGGCCCTTTGTCAGCAATTTCCCGCGGGGTCCCTAGGCCTCCAGTCCGACCTTGGGTAGGACGTCCTGATGACGCACTCCTTTCACTTACCTTTGTATTCCATCCTTCATACAGGGTGATCGTAAAGTCAGGAAACCCAAGATCACCCGTTCCTTGAACACAGCTCGAACATGTCGCAAGCTCTCCTTGGATGTAAGAAGGGACCGTCTTGTATAGTATGGACAAAACGTGTAATTGTTTGGGTTTCCTGACTTTACGATCACCCTGTCTATCGTCAACCTCGAAATGTGATACGTGGGGATGTTTTGCACTCGTGTCTAGATCTCAAAGTTTTACCAATACCGTGATGATGAAGATGAATTCAAGAATGATGAAAGATGAGTTTCAGAGAAGACTAGTGAAGAGATTCCTCTTCACTAGTCTTCTCTGAAACTCAAGCCAGCCTCAAATTTGGAAATCATGCCCTAAGAAGCAGAATAATCATGACTTAGTTCGAACCGTATCAGTTTGTAAAAGAGCCCCATCTGCCCCAAGTCACCCCACTCTACGGCATGCGAAAAATGCAATTGCCTTTCATTGCCTGGTGTTGAGTCACTGAGGTCGGACGGCCCAACATATGAACCAGGCATAACGATCGAAAATCTTGCATGCTTGATGAAGCAAGTAGCAATGTGCAATGTGGTTCCGAATTTTTTTTTTTAACCAAAAGGCAGTCATCGCAGAACTAACAAAAAAACTGAAAACCCCAGGCGGGCAGCATGTCAACTAAGTAGAACCTTTCCTGGAAGTACCTTTGTAGCATACGAATCGACATCACCCAATCACTCGTTCATGAAAATACCAGTCTAGTAAAAGACAGTTCATAAAACCCACAACAGTCGGACAATCGTAATCCCTGCACTCTTCGGTCGGCATTTTAAAAATTCGTTGTCTAAATGCGCATTCCAAGCTGGATCCGGAAGACAAATCAACAAACCATAGCTACGAGCGAAAGCAGTCCAGTCTGACAAAATGTTCCGTCTGGGAATTGTTCTCACCACGCCCACCGATAAGAAACACCACTGTGTGACGTCACCAGGATGCACTCCCCCAACTCGTCTTCCATGCATGTTAATAAAGGGCCTCTTGCCCCACCCTTTCATTTCAGAAACCTTGAGACAAAATGGGTCCAAAGTACAACTGGACCTGTGTAATGTGAAAGACTATCAATAATGGATGACTTCCATCATGATGTCAACTGGAAAACTGAGAGAAAATATACGGAGATTCTTCAAATCATAAAAAAATTCCTCAGTTGTTGTATACACATACCAGTGCCAATGATTTTCTTAGTAGCTTATTTCTTTGTAACCTTTAAATTCTACTTCACAAGAAGGGATTCAAATTCTGAATCACTGAAACGATGGGCATGCAGCTCCCACACTTCCAGTGTCCTGAGGAAGAAGCAACTGTGAAGAAGGCATGGAAGAAAACTTCTGGAAAGCTACTTTCACACAAGACATACTTTAATTTCGTCAAGTAAAATTCATCATCACCAGTTCCAAGAGAAAAAGTAGGACTAGGATTTATTGCTCAGCAGTAAACAAAATGGTTGCATCAGAGAAGGCATGAAGCTCTTCATCATAGAGATCTTCAGGCAAGGCTTCCTTGTCAACATGCGGATGATGAGTGGGGAAAGGGGGAGATTCCTCCAGTTTCCTAAAAAAAAATCATCAATCACTGATGGAAAAACTTAACTTCCAAAAAGCAAAACATTGCAACTGATCAGTACACAGCCATATGAAAAAATGCAATTGTATTGTGATGGATTTGTGAGACTTTGGAAAGTATTGAAGAGTTTCAGGATTGTCTATGAGATAAAAAGCAGTTAGGAAAGAAATATTGCTTAAACGCACAACTTTATTAATTATAAAGAAACTGGGAACAGTGAACCCTGCAAAGAAATGGACTGGCCAGTGATTTTGCCATAACCACAAAACACTTTTAACTGAAAACCTTATCATCCTGGTAAGGCACTAGACCTACCACAATTATGAACTTCCTCATGCAACTTCTTCATAATTATCATGGATTTTTGTAACAGCCATCCATGAAAAATGATAAAAACATTCTTCCTGCATCTGCTCAAACATAATTCAGGAAAAAAATGAAAATCCATGACCATGAAAGTCAAGAATATTGGATCTAATTTGATAACCTCTGCAAAACAATCCTTGCCAAACATAGCTATTGTTTCCTTTAGAAAGTGTGATCACAACAAAAAGAAATCCTGTGCGTGGTGGAGGAAACAACTAGAGCAAGAATGGTAACAATGTAAAAATATTCCATATAACTGTTCAAAGTTATATTCAAAGCTTCCCAATTACTCTACATTGCTTTGGATTGTGTTATTAACCAATGATTCAAACTGGTAAGACCTTTCTGGAATAATTGCAGAGTAATTCAAAGAAGAACATAGACAAGTAGTGGCTGTGCATGTCTGCTAAGTCACAACACATAGTGAAAACCTGCAAGAAGGCAATTTATTACCATAAATTTCTGTCAGATGCTACTATCTTATTGTGGGTAATCTAGATAATTAGCACCTTTGGATCAGGATTCCAAGTCAAGACATGAAATAGAATGATCAGAAGGGTATACTTTTATAAAAGGTCTGGACTCTTCTATGCTTATTCAATTGAGTATTTTTCACCAAGTTTCAGTTCACCTATTATGCTTTAACTCATCATGTTATACTGCATTCTAGGACATTTTGCATATATTAGAACATTTTTAAGCATCTACAGGCATTTCAAGACATTTTGGACATAATTGGAATAGTTAAATTAACTTTTTGATGATTAGGCATTTTTTAGCAAACCACCACTTCTTGTAGAGTTGATTGACACCTGGCTGACCTCTCTGTCATGTACTCTGGGAATAACCATGACAGAAGCCTATTATATATGTAGATATGGACTACATGTAAAATATTAGGTTTTGAATGAGTAATGAATGGTAAAGTTCAGAAACTCAGAAGATTACACTGGACAAAATCCATACATACAGACATCAACAGATCTTTTTTGAAAATCGACTTATGAACCATTTTCTGAAGGAAAATGTTTCTTCTACATCTGATACATGAATTTCAGGAATACCTTTCCAAGCTTCCATGATATTTAAAAATGAGAATTTTGATTCATATTTCTTAAACACTGAATAGAATAGAAATATTTTACAAACAACCTTTCTTATTCCTAATTATTTCTTATAACTTTGTAATACCCACACCTGTACCATATGGATGAAATACTGTAATAAATTCTAGCACAGGTGTTGTATGAGTTTATAAGTCTAATCCACGTTTCCTCTTTTTTTTCCAAACTCTCAAGCACAAAGGTTGAGGCCAAACTCATATCTATAGGATGAAATGCAACTGTCTGTGTTACTTACTTGGTTGAAAGGAGTGTGTCATGAATGTAGACATATGAATTTGTAGACCCAGGAACAGCAGGGCCTTGCACCCATATCACATTGTACTTGGTGTTGATTCGCCAAATCTGAAAGAAATCACCTTGTGTGACAGGTGGACATGGCACAGACAGACAAGACAACAGGTGTGTAAGGAGAGGTAGGAAAAGATTAGAAACTCAGGTGCATTCATAGCATATACAGTAGGTGAGCAAATAAATTTTTGAATCACCCATATGCCTCAACTGGGGAAAACTGGCAATAGATAGGCTATCAACTCTTGTCAGAAACAAATAGAAAGGGAGTGAGATTCTCAAATTCTTTGTTGTTTGTTACATGCAATTAGTTCATCTGTTTCCACAATTTGAAAAAATCGTGACAGTGTCATCTGTACTTAGGAGAACATGCAACAAAACAAGAAACTTCGTAAATCTCCTAAAGATGACATTAACAAATCCTTGCTAAAGATGTTCAAGTTCCAAATAAGTACAAACATCACAATTAGTAGGCCAATGCTTAAAGTGAAGCCAGTGCAGGACGACCGACTTTCACTATAGTTGTATATAGCATCCATTTTGAAAACAAGGAAACATAATGCCAATATAGGCGAACTTGGTTATAATGAACCTCGGTTATGATGACAATATTCCCCTGGTCCCTTCAACAATGTTATAATTGAGTTAGACTATACTAATGCAACTCACTGGATAAGTGTTTTCTACTTCAGGCTACCTACTCGTATTCTATAAATGTGTTCAGACAACATCAAACAATGCTGTAAATATAAAAAAGGATTAATAAATTAAACTTTTGAAGACTGTGCAGTGAGGCTATCAATTTCACAACCCTCTATAGAGATTCTTAAAGCAAGGAAAAAGGAACCACCTGCAAGTCATTGATACAACTTGAATTGCTCTTATAAACCTAAACTCTATGATATCCCTAAGGAAGAAGTGAGGTAAAGAACAATAAGAACACACTGCAAAGCCTCTCTGTAGGTTTGCAACAAAATGCATGAAGGAATACCTCATGAATCTAATCTGATGCTACCCTCACTTGTACTATGACCTACAGTTCCCTTATTTCTTTAACCCTCTATGATCTGGCAGGTCCCACACAAACTGCAATACTATTCAATACTTCATTCCCTCACAGAAAAATAAGAGCATGTTTATTGGAACACTATATTTTTTAGCCAACTGTACCTTCCAAGGTTTAGTTCTATACATTTCTTTAGGTAATAAGAGAACCATCATATCAAGTGATATTACTATTTGATGCAATATTCCTTCTGCAAATTTTTAAAATTAATTTAATTATAAAGCAACCCTAGACTAATCCAGGTGATGTAATGAACTCACTTATCTGCAAAATCAGATTGTCATGGCAAAAGTATATCAGACATCTGTGATATAAAAATATTCCTCTTGAATGAACTTATCCTTTCCAATTACAGGATTTAAGACTCAGTAATACTAATTGCACTAGAAATTTAGCACAGAGTAAGAAAAATTATAAACCTTGAATCTGCAGGTTTACATGGTAGCATTTCCAAGTAATTCCCTGAAATACTTGAGTTGGCCTGAAGGAAACATTCACTCAAGGAGAGACACAGAGATGGTCAGAAATAGGGAAAGCAAACCTTGAGACCACGGAGAGTGCGTCTTTCAGAGCCCATATGGCCAGGCATTTTTTTGCCAGGCCATACATTGGCCTTTTTCCCTCCTCCACCAATGCTTCCACCTCTTCTGTGACTTTTGGTTACTCCATGGGTAGCTGGCATCCCTTTGAACCCCCAGCGCTTCATCACTCCTTCGAAACCGTGATCAATCCTGAGAAATCACAGATGAACAATGCCTATGTATTCTAAAGAATCTACTCAGGATGATGATCATCATTTCCACATGAAAGTTCTGGAGTATGAGTCACCAACGTTTTCCCATAGACATCCACGTAATCACCAGGACGAAAATGAGATGCATAGAGGGGAGTTCCGGGTTGAATCTTGGCATCTGGGGTGATTAGGAACCGGGTCAATTTCCGTTTTGGCATCACGCCTGACTCAGCAAACAGCCCACAATACTCCTTGGTGAACTGTCAAAAAATAAGATGCAAGATGCACAGAGGAAAAGCACATTCACTTACAGGACATATCAATAAATGGAAAAAAAATTTATTAGGAACTACAAAATCATCTAGCAATACTAGCCATTCATAGCATTGTAAGAGGTTACCACAGCATGAACACATCTCAATACCTCATTGGAGAGACTTTCATGATTTTCATACCATCATCATCTTCAAAATGTGCAAGAATGTGGAGAAATTTATAACAATGCATGTCATGGAGAGAACTCAGGCATACCAATTGAGGATCAGCACTTTCAGCTCCAACAATAAGAACACCAAACTTTGGTGGATCCTTGAAGGGCTTGTACCACTTCTTCCCTTTCACTGTCTTGATCCATTCTTCAGGTGGTATGTACTTGATGACATGATTGTCAACGACCTAAGAAAAACACCTCCTTAGATCATCCCATTCAGACCTATCAGTTTGCAAAGACTGATTATACTAAAGGCCTAATGCCACTTCCTATGAGAGTAGGAATTAAGCTCAATCTTGTCACATGGGCAACTCTATTAAAATAATGAAATTCAATGTACGTATGTACTTAATACCACCAATTGAGAATGTACATAATTTATAAAATCTTCTTTAAGTAAGCCTTTACAAGGTATGATTTTAACAACATCCATGCATTTCAAAAACAGGGATTACAATCCAAAAAAAGACCTCATGATAAGGCTTCAAAGTACTTCACATAAGCACTTCCACAAGTAATTTAATTTTACTCCAATCAGAAAGAGAAATGAGGCATTGGATACTTGGGCAGGTTTAATTTAACTCTTTGTGCAAAAACCATATTTTCTACCATATATTAATATTAGCAGGTAGTAGAGGAAGACCTGCAAGAGAGTTGAGAGGAAGCGAGAACCATCTTTTTTCCACAAGGGATAGACACCAATTTTGCGAGCAATCAAGCCACATCGTCTTGATGTTGGAGTCCATTCTCCTCTGGGCCATGGCTCTTCCCTCAAGGGTGATACTGGTAGATATGGAGTGCATACACTGTCCAATACTGTCGGTGGTACTCCATATCGTTGTTCTATCACTTCTTCAATGAATTCCTTATTCTCAGCTGTCAGTTCTTCATTGTACCTCTAGAAAAATTCAATAGAATGGGTGAGAAACAGTTTCCTGACAAAGAATACAATTCTACTTTGCACTGGTTGTTATGCCTTCATAAAAAAAATTACAGAGAAGCCTCAAAAATTATTCCAGAACGAACTTGTTGAGAATCTTGTAAAGTGCATGAAGCTGTGCTGGAGTTGTGGAGGAACATATCTTCAACATATCTGCCAGTGACATAGTGACAGAGGGTACCATTTTCAAGTATTTGAGTAAAATTTTGATGCTCCTTCATCTCACTTCTGAAACAATTGATCTTCATGCAGCTTTTAACAAAAGAGCTTGGTCTTTTTTTTTTAAATACTTGAGAATTTTTTTAACAATTGAAATAATACAAGAAAAGTTTAATCTTACAGTGCTACCTTTTTTCTGTTGAGACAGCCTGTACATAAGGTGCAATTAATAACATATGAATTTGGTATGATTAGAGAATAGAAACGGAATGGAATGCTGCTGGCTCTTCAGGATGGATTAGCAATGAAAATGCCACAAAGGCTAACCAATAACTTATACCTAACATACCTATATGTGTATTGAATAACTTTTAAAATTTCATGCAACATTTGTTTTATTTTGGAAAGCCAATGGGCATCCCAGAAAGACCTATTCTGAGGGCCAAAGCTTTATCAGGTCCTATTGCCTTGGGCATGACAATATAAGTTTTGAATGCTCAGTCCTTAGCAAAATCATAAATAACAAGTGTGTGTAAATGCAAAGCAACCTTGAAATCTGAGCACTGATGTAATCAAGATTAATGGTCCAGTCAAGGAAACTGACAAATTATACAATTCATGATAGCATTATCAAAAAGCAAAAGGGACTGACAGTTCTTGTCTGCTTTGCCCACCAATATGGGGGATGGGTGGAACGAGTCTTCAACCGGGACATTGCTCTCTTTGTCTCCATATGGACAACACTCTGCAGACCTGAGGCTATTCTGCAAAGTAGCAAAAAAAAAAAAAAAAAAAGGGACACCATTATACAAGTGATAATAACTATACTGTGACCCTGTGCATAACCATATCCTGCAGTGAAATCAGATTGATTTATCCCATTCTAACTGACGCTTGGACATTTCAGTAGTTCAACCAATGAATGGCCAACTGAACTACTTGTGATATTCATCCATCAAAATTGAAACCTCTAAGCTAGATCTAGCCCTAAGTAATTAATGATACATCTGGGACCCCTATTGGGATCCCCAAAGTGCATAAAAGTGGTCATGCCACCCAGCTTCACCTGCCTTCACACATGCTCTCACTTTGAAATAATGTCTTCCAGTGCAACCTTTCCTACTAGGCAAGGCACTGCAGCTCCCCCCAATTGGGACTATCAGATTTTCAGATGCGTACTTGTGAATTACATTTATTGGTATTGTACAGTAAAAATTACAGTCTTAAGTATTAAAAGTACTAAGGAAAAAAGTCAAGATGGAGGGAATGTGCTGCTGCTGAGTGTGAATGTCTACTTATTGACTGTATGAATGAACTCCCCTGATGATTAGTAAGTCTCATCTTTGACTTCATATGTGTTAAGTTAACAGCTTACAACTCTTCTGATTACAAGCAAATCCAATGGGCCCTCAGTGAAATGAACTGAAAGAAACATTAAATGGCAAGTCAAGCCAGGAAGCTTGAAATTTCTTGGAAACACAATTGCTGTAATTAATGATGACTTAAGACTTAATATGACATTCATGAAGGATTAAATTAAATCTTCAATAGCAGCAGTTCATATGCATTAAGTCATCACAAATGTTGCAATAGTTCCTTAACATTAGTGATGTAAAGCAGAACACACCTTTTGTTCACACCATGTATAGAAACATACCTGGGTATCAGAGTCAAGTGAAAAGATGTCTAACTTGACTGCAAAACTGAAAGTTAATACTGATAAGGTTGGTAAGCAAGGCGAAGCCCAAAGCAACCTACAGGTCTCACAAATTTTGCATGCAATCTGGTGCTACTTGAATCAACTCTCTCAGTCTCAGCTTATACAGTTTTCACTTTTGGACTGATGGTTGGCATAACTCCAACTAGCAAAAAAATGAATAAAGGAATAGCAACTGCAGTCACCGTCAGTCCGAAAATATATGAAGGCACTCCTAATTTGCCAAAAAGAAAGGCTACTAACGTTATGCCTCCCGTCACTGATGCAACAATAAGAGGACAGGAGGGATGTGGTAAGCCTAAGCGACTGTTAGATCCTACTAACTCATTTCCATGTCGCAGCAATGGTCGAAGGGATCTTTCCATGGAGGATCCGCTTTTCATGCCAGAAACAAAGGAGAAACACAGCCGCTGCAACCCTCCCAACATCTTGACACTTATGCCGGCCAACAGCTTGGACTGTCTTGGAGCTGCTAAGTAGGGACCTGCGCGAAAAACGAGAATTTCATTCGCAAAGACATGGAGGACCTGAATTTGTGCGCTTGATAAGTAGGCTCAGCCTAAGAAAGCAGGAATGCCTCTGAGTTGACTTAACCGTAGGCATACACATGGGTTTCTTCCCTCTTCTCCACGTTGTTCTAAGCGTGCGGCCATGTGACACGACTGAAGCGCGCCCGTGTGATTTCATAGCCCAAGCATTACATTTCCTTTCCGCAACTAGGTGACTCGTCCTACCTTGTCGACGACCCTCTACCCATTTGGCAACGGAAATAATTTTTCGTGAGCAAAATATGGCCATTTTATTGATTGAAGAAGGGTCGAAAAATATTGGAACGATGATAGGTAAGAAGGGTTGAATTGAGGGTTGACAAAAATACAAGTTGAGTTCCCATATCTCGATAAATTTTCAAGAAAGTACACCCAAGTAAATAGTGACTCTGGGTGAAACGGCGTGCTGCCTCCGATTATTTGCAAACACTTTAAAATTATAAATCCGAATCCATACCGTTACACTCAGTTTGAGGGGTCGGAGCCGATGCTATTTTCTTGTTTGCCTTATGGAACTGCTATGAGCAGATGTCTTGTGTTATCTCTTCATCTTGCTAATTCCCCCCCCCCCCTAAAACTAGGGTGGGAAAATAAGGAAATATTCTCTCCTAATATCAAAACGATCAGGTATCGATCAGGCAATTTCAAAGCATAACAGATTTTATACAACTGTGGTGATTCTTTGAGAGTGTATACGATCATAATTGCTTCTGACTTTAATTATTATACTATCCGGGTGTCAGGTATCTTATCATAGCCAGTCGATGCAAACCACATCCCTGATTTGGGAGACAACGTTCGGGAAAGGCTCTTAATCTGCACGGTGTCACGAAAGACAGAGAGATGGAAAGATCGTCTGACTTGGTGAGCTCGCCCAGTATGTTACTGGAGAGTCAACCCTCTTTCGTGATGCAATGGTCCAGGCGTCTTTCAGCCCGAAGCATTGGTCAACATTTGCGGGGATGCTACGAATTCCAGCTCGCCAAGTTGTTACCACAGCTCACAAATGTGAGAAACTTAACATTCATGTTGTTTTTAAAAATAAATAATAAATGTTCTGCCATTCGCAACTTGCTTCAAACTTAAATTGAAACTAAGACTCTCTCCTTAACCTCGAAAAGCACCACGGAGAAATGGATGGCTTTCCCTCCTTCACGCCAAACAAAACCGTCTTCTCGCACACATGAGGCTTACGTTTCCATTCCTTCTCCACCACCTTTTACTCCTCATGTGTCGAATGCGGGAAACCGCAGGAATAACATGAATCATGTGGTCAGACCCTCGTCCAGCATCCTTCATGGTGGAGGTGAAGCATGACTCATTATCACGAGAAGTTTTTCCGAATAGAAATGTTACAGTTCGAACAATTTTTACATTTTTAGCAACTTCTTCACCATTCGAAAAATACATATGCAGTATTGAGCAGTAAAGAGGTAGCGGATGGGACGATCTTCCATCTTTCCTCGATCACCCTATCGAAACTCCTATATGAGTCGTCATGTATTATATCCTAAATCAAGGGGATCTAAGAGACCTTTCAACCATAAGGAAATCGTCGCGATCGTTGCGCCGAATTCCGAGCAATGAACGAGGAAACGGGCAATATCCACTCAAGCTCGGGGAAACGCTCAGATTCTTCTTGGAATGGTGTATTTAGGTGTGTGGTTTGAGAGCTTTGCATGATTGTAACCGTACGGAGAGGAGAAAAACGGGGTGGGAATAGCAAGGAAAATAATATTTTACGTGATGAATGATTCAGAAATATAAGCGATCTCCTTGGATGCTCGACTAGTGCTAGTAACGACCCACAGCAGCTTACGTGAATTCCTCATCCGTTTCGTTACCGCTTGTGAAGACGTTGTGGTGGCGAGGAAAGTCTCACGCGCTCGACGGACTCCAGGACCTCCTCTCCGTCTGGCCCGGACCCGCAAAGGAGGTTTTCACTTTCATTTTGCCACCTTTCCGAGTAGCATGTGTGCAGTTCGATTTACCGGTTGAATGGGGGAGGATAATTGCATAATTAGGCTTCAAATACCCAGTTGCACAAATAAACTATCGAGCTTTTCTTTTCACTTCACCGAGTCTGAAATAGCTGCACTTAAACAGCAGTCTCCCTTCTCTCTTCTTACTCTCATGAGGATGTCTCGTCCCGGCATTGACATCATGAGCCATCGGCCTGATTTCGAGACGGATACTGCTTCTCGAATGGTATCGAGGAATACATTCTCATCACCGGACAGCATATAATGCTGGATGACTGTTTCTGGTTGGAAACAACCAGAAACCACTACTAGGTCTAATACCGCAATAAATATTGGAATAAACACGCTTAACTTTTATGCCACTAGAATTTATTATTCATTGAAAGTTTAAGTTCAAGATACTCATTGCACACCTTGCTCAAATCAGTTTCAATATTGCCCAATTTGCATTCTTATATCTGAAGGGCAATGCATGACATCTAGGAGGTTTGCAGTTGTGACCTCATCGATGGTTTGGAGCAGGGGTGTCAAACATACGGCCCGCGGAGGGTGGTTCATCCGGCCCGCCGTCTGTTTTTGAAAATTTCCCCTTGGATTGAGTGTCAGCACAAATTTCAGTGAAATATTATGGGTGCGGCCCGCAGGCATCTGCAGGGTAAGGAATGCGGCCCGGCGACCCCGACACCCCTGTCAAACTCAAACCGGTATGGAGGATTCAAGTACCGGTAGCTTGCGAAAAGGTGGATAGGAGCAGGGCCGGTCCTAGTATTTCGGCGCCCTGTGCCAAGAGACTCCTAATGCTCCCTTCCCCCCCCCCTCCACCACACACACACACACACACACACACTCACCTGCATGCACATTTTGATCGGGATAGGATTCTACTTTCTGAAGTAAAACTGAGGGTGGCATCCATTATTGCTTCATTAATTCAGTCACGTTTTGACGCCCCTGGTGGATTTACGCCCTGTGGGGGGGCTCATGTGACACATGTCTAAGGCCGGCCCTGGATAGGAGCTTCAGCGGCTTTTTCCGGGTTTAAAACAATTTTGCACAATTAGTTAATTGAAACAGATAAGACTTTCAGAATCGATAAGTTGAAACGCTTAAATCGTATGATCAACTGAGAAGACTCTTAATAAAATCGGAATGTATTGGATTCTAGCCCCGCCTCTCATATATATGATGTATATGCATACTTTTTTTGTTTAACACGCATTATTTCTCCTAACAGCAGATTCATATGCCAAATATGCGAAATTTTATGGAGGGACTAAATCCAGTATGGACAAGGCCAAAGTTGCTCCATTTTTGAGTTAAGTACTCCGTAGAACTGTGGCCAATATGATGCTCCAGGATTGATTCCATTTGCAATCGGTGGGCAGTTCTCAGCATTCTCATTCGTTCTCACAGATCCTGATGACATTTTGATCGATTTATGCGCATAGTACTTCTGAGAGTTCCACTGCATATTTCGGCCAAAACCCACGCACGGAAGTCGATGGATGGAAGATGGAAAATTTGCATTTTTGATTATTGAAATTTCGATCGCTGGTTAGCTCATTGCAATCAGGGTGACTGCGAATCCTATCATCCTATTTTATCTGATATACCCAATCCCGATTTAATAGATTTTCTGAGTTCGCACCATGAACTGAGGTTGATAGAAAAGGTGCGTGATAAATATCTCTACAAGATATTTATCATCATTCATTGTTCACCTTTACCTTGAATCTGATACCGAATTTTTTGGATTAGGATTTAATCTCTGTTCCCCGAGGCTCCTGAGAAGGAACAAGAATCGTGTTATGTAAAAAAAAAAAAGACCAAAAAGAAAGCGAAATTGTCTTCCCGGATCTCTGAAACGAAATGACCCAGAAATATTTTTTTCTCTGTGCACGAGGGTATGTTGCCCAACACTCAAATGATGCTGCACTCTAAAAGGGCTTCTAACTGGACTGGGCTCTGCCTAATTTGCAAGCACCACATGGGGTATTTCGGGAGTTACATCCTTAACGAGAGCTCTATTAAGCTGGCTCCATGGGGGTCCGGTTTCTATTTAATCTCCTTTAGAGCTTTTCACTTTCAGTTTGTCAGCCTAGAAGAAAGCAAGTGATTGATGAAATTGATGAACCCTTGGAATGAGGTGTGACTGGTAAAGGTTTGATAATCATGAGATAGCCGACTTTCACTGAGGCCCTCGCAGTATTCACTCTCACAATACTGTTATGGAAACTTCTTCCGAGTCCTTATTTAATTCACTCTCATTCATTCTGGCTGCGTGCGGGTGTACGCCTAGAGGTTATGTGCAGGTTTTTTTCCCGCTATATGCCGCATGCATTCTGGATTGACCTGGAAGGCTTGTTACCTATCCGTCACGATGCCGTATGAATGAGATCAGATTCATTTAAACTGACCATAAAAAGGGCTTAAACAGGAATTAGATTTGTTCAGGTACCAGGTCTTTGGTCCAGGTCCAAAGTTCCACAATAGGCCAATATGAACGGAAATGGAAATGAAACGATCAGTTTCAGTTAAATTAACCCTATGTGCGGTATATCTATGGGTTAAAAAAAAATTCGAAGCCTGTTCCCCTAGTCACAACTTCACTTTATTTGGTTCGTCATTAGGCATCATAATTATGGCAACAAGACAGAATGAGTGAAGGTGATTGTGGGAAAAGTTTAACACAGCCGACATGGGTCAAGATTGGTGACCCAAGTATCACATTGAGCAGGGCTGGGGATCATAGGAAAAGATGGGATACGGAACGTGCAAGGTGAGATAGAGAGACATATCGTCATGAAGAACGAATCTTGAGCCGAGCCAAGCCAGAGGTCATATAGGTTCCAAAATAGAGGTAGCCATCAAACTCCTGCACTTCTGTAATGTTCCACAAGATATCGTCGGTGGACCAGAAGCTTCGAAGCACGTTTCCGTACGCATCTACTTCGAGCGCCAGGCTGTACAACTTCAACGGGAAGAACTGCGACAGCCGCATGTTCCCTATCTGCAATGGATGAACCCAGGAATATTCATTCACAATCGAGCAATCGAGAACGAGTGCTCGAGGTGGAACTCGACGAAGTCATTCCCTCTTTCTCTCACCATGTAAGAAATGGCAGCGTTGACGCAATTGGGCATGTAATAGTTGATGGAGTCCGATACTTGTCGGATCTTCCAGGTTAATTTGACGAGGATGAATTTGAGCCAGGGTTTCTTTGAAATTAACTTGAGAGGATCGAAATTTCCAGGTGGGATGACGTAGGAGATGGCAATATAGAACCCGCCTCGTCCATTAGGACGGATGTTATCTGGAGTTCCAGGAAGGTTTAAAAACACTTCTGATGTTCCTCTCCGCGGCCCCTTCAAGTAGTATCTGAATGGGCGTACATAAATTTCATTTCACCAGCGGCCCCGGAGAAGGGAATGAGTGAATAGGAAATGAAGAACTTGTGAATGCGGAAATGGCCACATTCCGCGAGGAGGAGGAAACTTTCATCTTCGGCCAATTGAATACCGTTGGCGAGGACCAAGCCGTCCATGATGACCTCTTGTCGTCCCGTCCGAGGGTCGTATCTCAGGAACCTGAACGGAAGAAAGATGTCATCAATGAGGTCCTCACTAAGCTAAGCGACCATGTCAATCTTGGTCACGACTGTATCTGCCAGTACCTGCCAGTGCCAGTGGTAAAGAATTCCAACAGCCCGGCATCGATGTCGAATCGAGTAGAACCATCCGACCAATAGATGGTACCATCTGAGGCGACGACGAAGTCATCAGGCATCCTTGGGACGCGACCGTTGATCGGCCTCGACGTATCCATCACCCGCGACGTCACGACACCTTTCCATCAGTCACCAGAGAGATCTTCATCGTTTTACTTCGTCGAGACAGCTATGTCTCAGATCCGCGAAAAAAGTGAGTGAACACTGGGGGTATTGTACCTCGGTCGACGTCGATTTCCAGCAGGCCTTGGAAGGCATCCATGGCATAAAGCTTCCCATTTCTCTGGAATCTCAACGCCAGAGGTCGGGCACATCTTTCATATCTACCTGCAAAACATTTCAGCAGTTCGGACGAATTAGTGACATACTCATTGTCTTAAGATATGACGGTGCTCCATGGTGAGGATCGCAGTGCAGAATGGTCCTTTCTAATACAACTCCCTACACTCATGATTCTAATACATGCTCAAGCATGAAAAACAAAGTTGGCATCCTCTTACCTCTTGCCAAGACCTCCCAAAATCCATCACCTTTGCGACCGAACATACAGAACGAACTATAGCGGAAACAACTGGTGACATGACCAATTTCAACAATGAGGTATTGATGGACTTGTCCTGTCCAGGGAGTAACCTTTACAGAGACAAGTACCAAGCTCTTACTATTAACAGTATTGCAGTTGAAAAGCATTTCCTATGGATAATTGAACCGGCCTGATTTAGTCAGGTAGACATGGAGTTGTCCGAGCAAAAGGGCATTTTGAGACGTACTTAGAATAATATTAGGACTGAAAGTACTGAAAAGTACTAATGATGACAATCCGCAGCTTGCCCTCGGAATGCTCTTTTGGAAAACACAGAATCGATCCAAACACGTGAGATCCCGATGAACTCGACTAGCAACAGGATTGCCTTCAGGAACTCTTTATTTCATTGTACTGGCAGTACAAAAATGACTATCTTTTAAAGTACTGAACCTATTTGAACAGGTAGGTAGAGGGAATGCACTCATTCTTCGAATTGAAGTACTCGGTTTACAACGAAGAAAATCCACAGTCTGATCTAGAGCAAAAGTTTTAAAGCCGATTTCAACAAATGGGGTGTTGATAGACTAAACACTATCATTTCCTGCTTCTTAAAATGAGTTTTTTTTTTACAAGCAAATGTGACACTGTACAGTATATGGCAAGTTGGCATGATTCGCTGTGGAAAAAAAGGAAACCATGAAGTTACCATAAACTCTTAAGTACAAATATAAAAAATTGCATTGGATCACGTATTCAAATGCAAGGAGTCAAAGACTTCAATGCGTTTGGTATTGGATAAGACAATGAAAACCAGAGCGTGCCATCCCTGAACAGCAACTTGTAATAGAAACCCATGTTTTCCTTCATGCACTGTTCAACATTTTGCACATGAGAAGTAAGGGGAGAATTGATTGACAATCGATTGACAGTGAACCTCATTTGAGTTCAGCGTCTTCATAGTATTACGGCAACCTGGGTATTTATGAACCTATCTAAAAAAAGAAAGCAGTCCTAATGGAAGTTCAGTGAAGAGAGCCATGTCTATGCGATAAGTTACGTCAATCAATCCGTCAATAACAATAAACGCCTTCACGAATGTCGGTATGAACGAAGACTCGTAATATATGTTCTTTTGACTCCTCCCCGATTAACCCTTATACGTTCAGCGCGCCGATCCATCGGCTCCGTCTAAATCATGCTCTTTTAGTTACATAAATGGCTCAAAGGTTGTTTTTGTTGTTTAATTACATAAATGGCTCAAAGGTTGTTTTTGTTGTTTAGTTACATAAATGGCTCAAAATACTTTCCTAAATAAATGGGGACTCTAATTCTCTGCCGACCGTGAACCTTCTTTACGCTACCAGTCATACATGTTGTAGACCTTCTCGTTTCTATAGTCGAACCGTTGGTTTACGTCTAACCAGTCACGTTAGCAAAAGGGTTTAACAACATACGGCTGCGAAACCTGGACGCTGAGAAAGGCAGACAGGCCTTTCTAGCTACGTAAACTTGACACCACGACCTCTGCAGACAATGCGTAAGGCACCTGTCGGTCTTATTGTTTGGTTTTTCAAGACCTTGCCTAGTTTGGCTTTTAGAGTGACCTCCCCTTCTACTGAAAGCAAAACGAGAGGATGAAACCAGTGTAGTACGCTTCGTTCAGCGAACTCTTCCTGTAGTACGAACCTTACCAGTCACCGTTTTCTTCTGCTCCGGTGGGTTCTTGAGCGACCGATCTATGGTAGTTCTTTCTATGACCTAACTTGTATCGTCTTAACTTTCTTCGGCACTCTCTAGCCTTCTGTTGGAGAACACTGATCCATAGTGTGGCCGAGAGTCGTACTCGACTGAACGGATAAGAAGAAGAAAGGTACCATTCACAGGATGACAGGCTTTCAAGCGTTCATGATGAAATTCGGAACAATTCATCAGTTCGTCGCTACTTGCGGTCACACGGGCTCCGCAAAGAAGTCCATCACCAGAGTTTCCTCATTGAGATCCAGCTATCAAAACCCAGGATTTTTGATTTGACAATTTTCTGGCTCTTTCATGATTGCTTACAACACCTCCAGTCCTTTCAAAGCGCAATGATGCAATGAAACCGAAGAGCTCTTTAAAGGTTGTATTATTAACGATATTAACGCTCTCAGGGTTGTATTGCCTTTTCGGTTCTGGGAATTCACTTAAACAAGCCAATACCCGGTCATATGACCTGACATGAAGATATTGGGAGGAAATGAAGATGCATGAGATCTCCATGTCATCGTGCCAGATTGAGTTATCGTAGACAACAGTCAATGCGAGGTATGAACCATTTCTTGTTTGACCTTGCTTAGAAGCTTCAATTTGACGCAGTCGAAATATCGACTCGTAAGAAAGCTGCATTCAGCTGGCCAACACTGGTTTAGGTAGGAAAATCCCTCATCGGTCGAAGCTTTGGTCGTGCGTCCTATTGATGATCATGACGAAACCAGCCGAATTGGGAGCTGTCGGGCTTCAGAGGGAAGGGCAGGTTCGCATCGGAAAGAGCGATGTGAATCCACGGTATGAGAACTCCTTCCCCCTTCGCATCTCCAAATATCACATCGGCATCGATAATGTTGTTCATTATGCGACGGACTATCGATAGCGTTCCGTTGTATGTCCATTGTTTTGGGTTATTTGAGGTCGCAAAGGAGAACTATGACACCAGGTTTGAGTTTCCACTCGTGAGGTGGCATTCCAGATGGGGTCAGACTGTTGAGAACATCCACAGGATAATTGTTTTGCTCCTCGGGATCATCACACACGACAGAGTCGACACGGATGTAGATGTTGGATTCCCCTCGAGTTAGAACCTCCTCGTTCGATTCAAGTGCCTCTTCATTCTTGGGGCAAAGGATGGCCTCGTCACCTATTGAATCAAGATGTTGAGGATCGATGTTTTCGGCGTAGACAATGTTTATGATGTTGCCATTAACCATGTATTGTTGAGGCAGCGCAACAGCGTAATCGGAGATCGCTTTCAAAATCGGGTTGCGGCCTTCTCCGACAGACATCAGCCTTTCTGAGAACTCGAAGACGAGGTCAAGGCGAGAGTACAAGTAACTATCAAAGTTCTAGAATTTATTACCGTATTCTCTCTCTCTCGATGTAAAGCTCGTTCGTCGTTTATACCGTGTGAGTAATGGCACCGCTTGCTGCGAAAGAACTTGTTAGTAGCCCCCACCAAGAACCAAGAGTTTGCCGCCGAAAGTCACTTTCTCATTCAAAATGTTGCGAAGCATTCTGTCAAGAGCGTAGGAAAGAACCATGGGTGCTTCATCCCATATCGAGAGCCGGGAAGACCTCAATTCCTTTGCTTTCTGGCCTTGGGGGCGGACATTGCAAGCTGAATTTTCAACAATCGGCACTGAAAATTTAAAACGGGAATGGGCAGTTCTTCCTCCCTCCAACAAAATTCCTGTCCAGAAAGATGCAATTGCATTTTTCCTTCTCCCATCAAGGTATGGATTAGCGAATCGTTCAAGAAGATATTGCCTGTCCTGCCGGGTCCGTCAATTTAGAAACACCTGGTGGAATCACCTGGGTTTTCTTGTCTCATGCTCTCAAGGATGATGTCGACCGTTGCACGTTGCTATTCATCAAGTTCGGCATTCATTCGTTTTCCCCGTGTCCCTTCCTGCAGCAACGTCGTAGGATAAATGAGTCACGGGCAATGCCGTTTTTTTGCTCAGAAAGTTGGAGGGATGAACAACGAAGGACGTGAGTTTGCAAGCATTCGTGCGTTATAATCTGCACCTGAACTTTTAAAGAAGTCTAAATACAACTCCCGCTCTCTCTTCCACTTAGGCCTGTTCATCCGTAGGGCCCTTGAATTTGTTTTTTAATGGTACAAAGTAAGCGTCGACACTTAGGTCTTATATGATGCATTCTCATTCCCTCCACGACCGCACTCCCTGGACAACATGGGATTCTTCCTCGCGGGCATCTCGTTGGTCACGCGGGACCGGAGCCCGCGGAAAGAGAAGTCCCGCTGCTCCGCTCTACTTCATGGTGATTTCGGGGAAGCAAGGCCCTGTTTCAGCTTCCATCACTGGCATTATATAACGTTTCGCATGCATAGATGGCAATGCTTTGTGCTCGGCGACCTCCAATCCTAAGAACGGAGGGGCCTAGACTCGGAAAAAAGACGTAACTCAGCCGGGTTTCGAACCATGGTCCCACGTCACGGGAGCCTGACGCACTACCATAGAGCTACTAACTTAGCTGCGCCTCTTAGCGACAGTGCGCGTGGTAGCTCCTCGAGTTTTTGTCGCCAAACGACGAAAATGAGGTCTATAGCTTTCCGTGGTTTTAAGCTTTCCATCGATGCCGGATTCGTCAGTTCATCAATATAATACAGTCTGTTGAAATATAGTGACCAATACTCCACAATATCACAATTACGAGAGAGCCGAAACTGTTATGTACAAAAGAGAAATGAGCCGAATAGAAGTCACGTTTGAGATCAGAAAACATAATGCAATTCGTGCAGTCTCTCATAAAAGAATGCTTTCTCACAAGTGTTAAAATTCATTGATAGATACTGTAAGTTGCTATTAACTAAGTCGAAGTTATTTAAATATATTTCATCGACTGTGGCCTCCAAAGAAAAGTATGAACTACTTCGAACAAGGATTTATGTGAAATATCAGAATGTACGGGTGAGAGATTGTGTTATTAATTACATGTGCATGCAAACCATTCCTATCCTCCTGATTAGGCACAGTGTTTGCAAAAGATGAGTCTGTGGATATTGATTTGCATAAGGGTAGGATGCCTTCCATGTCTTGTGATGCTGCGCATGGATGGAAAGATGTTCAACATGGTGATTTTTATCAATCCTTGAGAGATTTGTTCTACCAAGACTTCTCCCTCACGCAGAATGAGACAAAAAGGAGACTTCGAGTAACTTCTAATACACCAGCCCACCCTTTATCACCAAACTGACAAACAAGAGTAACCAGGGAAATGTTGCAAGATAACAAGAAAAACATTT